CCTCATGCATGCTATGCCACTGCCTTCCTGTGTCTCATTCCTACCTCTCTCCCTGTCTCCTCCCTGTGTTCCATACCCTCCCTCTCCCCTCCATGCATGCCATTGTTCCCTCTCTCCTAACTCCCCTGCCTGTGTCCCATTTCTCCCTCTCTCCCCCTTCCCTCTAGGTGTTGCATACCCTCCATTTCTCCCCCCTCCTCTCCCTGTGTCCCATACCCTCCATTTCCCCCCTCCCTTTCCTGTATCCCTTACCCTCCCTCTCTCCCCTCCATGTCACATTGTTCCCTCTCCCTCCTCCCCTCCAGGTGTCCATACCTTCCATTTCTACCTCCTCTTCTCCCTGTGTCCCATACCCTCCATCTCTCTCCCCTTCCTGTGTGCCATACCCTCCCTCTCTCCCCTCAATGTGTCCCATTGTTCCCTCTCTCCCCTCCCTCTTGTGTCCATTGTTCTTTCTCTTCCCCTCCCTCCCTGTGTGCATACACCTTCCATCTCTCTCTCCCCTTCCTGTGTCCACATACCCTCTTTCTCCCCCTCCATGTATCCCATTGTTCTCTCCCTCCCTTCCCTGTGTCTCATTGTTTCCCTCTCTCCCCTCCCCCTCCCTGTGTCCATTTGTTCTTTCTCTCCCCTCCCCTCTGTTTCCCATTGTTCTTTCTCTCCCCCCCCTCCCCCCCCTCCTGTGTCCCATTGTTCTTTCTCTCCCCTCCCCCTCCTGTGTCCCATTGTTCTTTCTCTCCCCCCCCCCCCCTCCCTGTCTCCCATTGTTCTTTCTCTCCCCCCCATGTCCCATTGTTCCCCGTCCCCTCCCTGTGTACCATTTCTTCCTCTCTTCCCCCTCCCCTCCAGATGTCCCATACCCTCTCTCTCTCCCCCCTCCCCACCTGTACCTTATTGGCTGCGGTTCCCGGTCTGACAGGAAGTGTTCTAACAGTGAGCATTTCCTGTCAGACTGCTCGGCCACGCTACACACAATTGTTCCTTTCCTGCCAGACCTCCGGGAAACACGGACTCCGGTCGGCGCGACTGTACACTGGCCCATAAGGTATCCTGGCGGGCCATGATCGCAGGAGTCTCGGCTGCGGCTCGACCCCTGGAGTGAGAGGCCCGGTCGCACCTGCGATCGTGGTAGGTACGCCAGTGTCTAGAAGGCTTTTTGCATTCAATATGTGTGTTGTGAGTACCTAGATTTTTTAATTAACTTTCATTTTTCTAAACTGACGAATAACATGTTTATTAGACATGAGGCTCCAAGGAAGTGGAAGTGTGCATTGCTATAGACGTTCGTGTCGGTGGAGGCAACACGCCTCTAGGTCACTGGAGATGCAGGACTCATTGCAGTGACATTTAGATAACCATGACTGTCAGTTTGAATGATTTGGAGGTTTTCTCTTTCACAAGTGTCTGGTGGGAAAAAGCTGAAAATTAACGGATATAATATTACCAAACTAACTTTGTGGTGGTAGACAAGAAAAGGAAGAGTGCAGTAGTAGTGGATGCAATAACCAGTGATTATAACAACAACAAGAAGAAGGAACAAATACAGGACTGAAAGAGCAGGTAGAAAGGGTATGGAAAGTGAAGGCATCAGTAGTCTCAGTTGTGGTAGGAGCAATCTGGGATGTAACCTCCAAGTTGGGAGAGTGGCTTTAGCAGATTCCAGATAGAACATCCAAAATATCTGTCCAGAAAAGTGCAGTTCTAGGAACAGCTAAAATACTCTACAGAAAGGTTAAAAAGTCAGTTTTATGTGTACCAGTCTTGTGGGATCTTCACTCACAGCGTCAGCATCTTTGGGCTTCTAAGATGGTGGTCAAAATAATTCTTAGCCTCTGCTCTTCCAAGGCATATGCATCAAATATCGCACATTCCTGGTGAGGACCACAGGTAGTTTCCAGCACTGTGGCTTTCAGGATCCTGTATGCTATAGGAGTTAATTCAAGGTATTAATTCACACCTATAAAGCACTGAACAACTCTAGCCCCTCTTATATCTCCTCACAGATCCATAGGTATGTCACTTCTCGGTCTCTCTGCTCTGCCCGTGACCACCTCCTATCCGTTGTCCGCACCCGTACGGCCAAGTCACGCTTGCAGGACTTCTTGCAGGCGGCTCCCTTCCTATGGAATAGCCTGCCTACCGCCATCAGACTCTCCCCTTTTAAGAAGTGCCTTAAAATCCATCTCTTTAGGAAAGCTTATGGCCTCCAAGACTAACCTCTACCTTACATACCTGTCTCTTGCTCTCTCCTAAAGGGCAGCCCACCTTATTTGACTGCAAATTCCTGTCCTAATGTGTTTTACACCCCACCTCCTATAGAATGTAAGCTCGATTGAGCAGGGTCCTCTTCAACCTATTGTTCCCATAAGTTTATTTGTAATTGTCCTATTTATAGTTAAATCCCCTCTCATAATATTGTAAAAGCGGCTATACTTGAGGAATCTGTTGGTAGCTATATAAATGAGTGATAATAATAATAATAATAACACAGAGAAGTGGTGACACAATGCTGGAGTGAGGTGAGTATTAAGTAGCCAGCCAATGGCAAAGGGTGACAAAAGATGGGAAGCTTGTCTACCTTTTTGCTGTACACAGTGTGTGCAGCACTGGCCATTCAGCATCTACAATCTGCGGGGCTGAATGTTCCTGGATTGGTCAGTGCATCTCTGTCGAGGAGATGCTGATTAGTTACCAGGCGTTTGTCATGCTTCCCAATGCTTTCCTATGGGATTGTATCAGTTTGATGATCTCAGTCAGGAAGAATAAGAGCGAAAGGGAGCCTTTACAGGGCTTTCGATAAAGAGGTGAGTTTTTACACCTTTTTAAGGAAGATAAGAGGGGCGGTCAACGAAATTTTAACACTATAGTGTCAGGGAATACCTGTTTGTATTTGTGACACTATATTTGCTGTTAAAAGTTTTTGTACATTTGATGTGATAAGCATGACAATAATAAACACAATGAAAACATATCTCATGCAATGCACACAATCTTTAACAGTCCTGGCATGTAGCATGGGAAACATGATCTAAGCAAGGTGCACATGGCGTAAGTATGCAATATGTTCTAAAAAATGTGAATATTTGAAATAATATTCTACAGTCTGCTAGTCAGTAATTGAATTTTCTTAAAATCCATTAGTACACTTTCCAAACTCATTTCACTTGAAGTGTATGTCATAAAAATGGGATCAATATCTGCATTTAATTTCTGAAAAGTTATCTTGGTACAGCTGGCTATGCATTTCTACCTGCCTGTCTGTCTTCATAGATTTCTGTCTGTCTGCCTGTTGGTTCACACGTCTGTCCGCCTATCCATGCATATATATATATTATTGTATTTATTTTTTAAAAAAATTATAGCAGTCATTTTCCTAGTACTGATTTTTTTCATACAGAGATTTAATTTGCAGGTCAAAATACATGAATTGGAGTTGCAGTGTTTAAAAACAGAAATGGATAAATTGATTTGACTTTATCACTTTCGAAAGTTTTAGTCCACTTTCCTTTAAGTCTAATAGTTCCACATTTGAATGAATGCATATGTTACATTTCAATTAAATGATCAAAATAGAGAATGCGTAGTTAAAAGCTGTGTTGTTATTAAGTCTCATAAAAATACTGTCTCATTCATATGTTTTAAAAGGTCTATTAGATATCACGTATTGCAAATATTTCCCGACAGAGACGGTACATTCAGTTAGTAATGGCAAATGATAGTAACAATTCAAAATACATACTATGTTTCAGATAAAATTGATATCCTCCAAATTACATCTATTGTTAATTTCACCAAGGGATGTGCAGAACAAAGATTGGCCTGCAATTTCAGATCTAATTATAATACATTTCCATTGGCTATTATTTTAAGACTTTAAACATGACATATATAGTCTGTGAATTACCCAAACTTCCCGCTGTCTCGCTTTTGTTAGATTCTAATAGTGATATTTAATTTGATCTAAATCAAAATAGAATGGCAGTAATAACAGATGAGAGGGTTAAGCTTCGGAAACACTAGAAATGTGGACTATACCTGTATTTATGCATTAGAGAAAAAGTACATAAAAAGCTCGAGATTGGGGTAAGTAGTTATCTTTGTAGTTATCTTTTAATAATGTTTTATTGCTTCCATTCCTCCTGGCCAGAAAAATAAAATGGTAGGTTTTTCATTATTTTTGTTTATCAATAAAAAAAAGTAATTACTTATTTCTCCTACTACCCTGTGACATTAGCTGTTGGGAGGTCATTTAGCACTCAAAATCCAGGCCTCTGCACTGTACCAGTTATTAGTCATCATCCAATGTTCCACTGGTTTCCTGTTGTGATACAACTATAAACATGACCACTGGCATTTTCTGCACATCTATCGGTGTTCTCTGTGCACAACAGGGACAATGAATTCCTGGTTCAGAATCCTGCTGCAGCTTAAATGAATACTATAGTCATCAAAACAACTTTAGGTTAATGAAGCCATTTTGGTGTTAGATCATGCTCCTGCAGTCTCACTACTCAATTCTTTGCCATTTAGTAGTTAAATCACTGTGTGTATGCAGCCTTAGTCACACCTCCCTGCATGTAATTTACATATCCTTCCTAAACACTTCCTGTAAAGTGACATCTAATGTTTACACTTCCTTTATTGTAAATCATGTTTAATTTAGATTTCAATCTTAACGGACAAAAAAGAGTGTATAATCAAAAAGCATGTTGTATTATTTGGCCACTTTAGATGCAGAAGCTGGTGTAAAATTCAAATCTACATTAGCATAAGTTTTGATAAAAAGAAAAATCCTTTTCCAAGTATTTACTATTTTTTCACATAAAATTCAAAGTTTAGGCAAAAATATCTGAACTAAAAGTATTGCTGATTTGGAGAATTTTTTAATTTGACCATTGTGGCCTAGAATTTTAATTCACTTTGAATTCCTGATAATTCATATCTTAGTAAATAGCACAGCATGTTTTGTTATTATTTTATTTCTTTTAATTGATGTTAATCACAAATATCTATAAAAAATAATCTAACATTTTATAAATAAAGCATGACATTGAAAAAAAAAATACAAAAGCCATTTCTGAAAAGAAAAAAAGAATGTTTATGTTAAAATTGTTGTCCTGCAACTTATAGAATATTAGGATTTTACTGCCACCCAGTGGCTTCTTGAACTCAGTATACATTTATCACTTGGCAATTTGTAGTACTTCTTTAACAATAGTTATTTCTCTTCTCTTTACATAGAGTATATAATCAGCATAGCTACATCACTGCATCAGTGCATTTACAATAACATCAACTATTTAACCACTAGACCAGCAGTAAACTGTGACAATATAATCTGAAAAAAATGTGTCCATAGATTAAAACGTGCCGTTACAGTATCTTTGATATATACAACGTGGCACTTCACTGGTGACTGGATAATATTCCCCAGAATCCTCTGCCAGTTGTAGCCTAACATCAGCTGGTTAGCCATGGGTCAACTGTTGTAGAGCATAGCATGGTGGGGTCTTCATAGCTGACAAGAAGGATTCCTTGTCAACTCTAACCTTTTGCAAATTAGTCCAGTGCTGTCCATTGAATCTTATGTTTACCAGTCTTGGCTTGATTTCTGTTTAATAAACTTTAGGCTTATGAAATAGAGTACAAGAAAGCCAGCGATTATACCAATCAGCACTAAGTAGCACAGGTATAGTGGATACGAGTCCATCTCCATATTTTTGATGATCTGCAAAGAAGTTATGCATGGAGTTTAGTTATAATGTTTTGCCTAAATCATGTGTACACAAGAGATACAGATTTGTATTAATCCCCATGATTGAAGGGAAAATAAAGGTTGATATAATATTTAGTCATTGAAACCACAAGGTTGAAAGACGTTCCAAAATCTCTCATGTATGTTATTATAACTAGTAGTGAGGTAGAATAATAATTTTATATTTATGGTTATTATGGGCTTGTTCTTGTCTTATTAAGTAATTTGGTAGTCTAGGACAGTGGTCCCCAATCTAGCCTCGTGGACCACCAACAGCCAAGGTTTTGTCATTATCTCTGTTTGAATAAAAAAAGATATACATAAATCCTAGATTGTTGGTAGTCCATGAGGAATGGGTTGGGGACTATGGTCTACGACAGGCATAGGCAACCTTCGGCACTCCAGATGTTTTGGACTACACCTCCCATGAAGCTTTGCCATCTTAATGGGTGTTAGAACATTATGGGGGATGTAGTCCACAACATCTGGAGTGCCGAAGGATGCCTATCCCTGGTCTAGGAAATATTATATCAATCGTATATTCTGATCATTAACCAGGAAAGTATAAAGTATGTTGCAGTTTTAACTCCTAAAAAATTTAATGACCTGCCCTAAAGCAAAACGCGATATCAATCAGCTGTAAAACTAGATGCCAGAGGTAAGAAACTCATAGGCATAAAATATATATATATATCCCAGTTGTGCCACAAGATATATTGTGCCCCAGTCACAGACCTGCTCTGGGCTCTAAAATGGCTGCTGCATTTATTACTTGGGCATTTACTTCTGATAATTAAAAAAAACTATGCATCATATCGATAGCTATGAGACTGGTTTATTCATATTTCCTAAGTTAGTTAAATTTACAAATAATATATAGTCATTCAGTTTGTCAAGAAGTCAATTTTAAAATCAGTGATTGGTGATTGTGGAACACACTATTCTAGTGGATCGTTCTCTACCATCTTTATTGCCATATATAGACTGTAAGCTCGTTTGAGCAGGGTCCTCTTCAACTTATCGTTCCTGTAAGTTTTCTTGTAATTGTCCTATTTATAGTTAAATCCCCCCTCTTATAATATTGTAAAGTGCTACGGAATCTGTTGGCGCTATATAAATGGCAATAATAATAATAATACATGATGGGGCAAAAAAATAGGAATGTTATTTTCTACTAACTTTATGGTAAAAGAAGTAATATTGAGAAAAACAGTGTTGCTAAAACTGTGAAATATTGCCTCACCAGTTTTCCCGGAACAGTGATGGTAAAATTGTTTAGGGACAAACTATATGACAGATCTGTGAATTGAACTTGCATTAGTCCTTCGAATCCCCAGCGGAGGAAAGAGACGAACGAAATCCAATATGGTACTGTTAGATAAAATATGCAAAAATGAGTACATTTTGAAGGATCAAGAAAGTCAGACAATAGAAAATAACCAACTAACACCTCCTTTTAATAAACTTTCCAAATTATTCAATACTGTTAGAAAAAATTTGCAACTAATTTTTGTACAAAAAGTCCCAAAAACTTTAATGGTGACATCTGTAAAAAAATTATTTGGAACTATTTTTCTATTAGTATTGAATTGCTTGGAAGGCTTCAAATTAAGAGACAAATATGATGTTAAAAACAAAATCTGAAATACTCTTCCTTAAAACAGGATAATGCTTTATTAGTCAATAATTGTATTATTTTCTATCGCTCCTTGTTACTAACGCCAATTACATCTCTGTGTCAGTGTCACGGAAAAACTATGACAACAAGGTCAAGGATCAGGTGAGCAAATATGTGAGAATGATACTTTTTTTTGTTAACCATTAAATCTAATTCAAGTATTAAAATCCTTCTTAGAGGATTGGAAGAGGCCAACATACATTCTAGCAGAGTATTTACCACTGTGTTGTGAATCAACAGATGTAAAATGTATAAAACCCATAAATTATTAAATGAACATTGAATTAATTATTATTTGATACATGCAAATGCATAAGGAGTTTATGGAATAAAAAAATAAAATAAGTTTTTCCTGCAGGGAAAGGCAGTTTAATTATGGTTACAACTATGGTTTTAACTATTTAATATTATCACATTGTAATGGATTGATTGATGGAATATTGATGATGCCATGTGAATTTTTTTTTTTTTAAATAATGAAAATGTATAAGCTAGTTCAAAATCTGGCAAAATGGGCGTTAGGTAGGGAGTTTAGTATTGTGTTGAGTTTAGTAATACGCATTATTGGCAACGAAATCTGAATTGTTCTCTTGCTTTGAGCTTCTATTGCCATTTTATTTTTATTTTCTAATAATAGCATTCTGGAACATGAGCATCTAGTTCAGACATATTTTAAGACATCTAAACATATACAACATATACCTAGGTAAAGTCACACAAAATTTATGGAAACAAGATAGGTTGGCCACACAATGTCAAGACAATGTATATGGATTGGAATGCCCTGTATTCACCAAAAGTGAGCTGGTTTAAACATATGCTAATACTGCACTTTACACCAACCCACATAACATCGTGTGAGAGTCCCTTTAACAGGTAACTGGGAGGATTCCTTACAAAGTATGTATCACATATAATAATCATGCAACTTGTCAGGTTTGCTGTGCTTTAAAAGACATCCATTCCTCTGTTTTTGGCATACTAGATCCTGAGGAGGCAGGCTGAAAGCTAGCCGTATAAGAGGCATGTGTGGGTGTGGTGAAGTGTAGGTGTAATATGGGGGAGAGGTAAAGAAATGAATAAGGGGATGGACTATATAAATAGGCAGGCATTTTGCCTCCTGACTTCAACCATCTTATCTTGGTAACAGCTTCCCACCCTCCCTCCCTTGTTGATGTTTTGTTATATGTTACTAACTCTATTCTCTTGTCGCAGCTGGGGGGTTTGGTCCTTGCCAATCCGCGTTGGAGGAAGAGTACAGGGGGAAGAAGGAAGGTTGGGTCTGGTCCCTCCCCTAACTTCTGGTAAATGTTTGGACATCCAGACGTGCCCACTGAGTCAAAGGTCGGCCAGTGGTTGGCATGGTGGTAAGTTAAGGTCAAGTTGGAGGTCAGGTGGTGTTTGGACGAGGGGGGACAGGTGCCGAGGAGTACTCGTGTTTGGTGATGGAATGGTTTTGCAAGGACGAGTCTGTGGTTTAAATATTGTGATCCTTGTCAGCAGGTAGCACGGTCCTCTAGGGCAAAAACATGCACAGTCCTTCTAATTGCAAATACTCCAGGCACTTTATTTGTAAGTTCACACAGGATACAGCAGTAAATGAAAACAAATGTAACAGAAAACCCTATAAACAAAAACCTAGCTCATCTGAGCACTAACTGACATTAGGTTCCCTATCTCTCAGGGTTAAATTAAACAAAACAATATTGCACCAACCTTATTAGAGAGCAACACTCTGCTAGCTAGCCTGTTGCTTTCCTTTCTGCACTCCCAGTGCTCCAAGCCAGCCTTGCCCTGACTGCTTTCCTTTCTGCACTCCCTGTGCTCCAAGCCAGCCTTGCCCTGACTGCTTCCTTTCTGCACTCCAAGTGCCTAGTCTCCTTGACTCTATCTGGAGAGAACAGCCTCTCTCTCCTACCTGCTTCCTGGGAGGAAGCCAGCAATCCCCCTCTTTTCTCTGCCTAGCCAGGAGGGGTTTATTCCCACTGCAACAGCTCATTAACTGCAGCTGGGTTGGAGAAGGTCCAAAAAACCCTGGCCTGGATCTATGTCTCCCCAGAAAACCACTAAACTGTGGAGTGGAGCATTGGCCCACCCTTCTCTCCAAATGCTCCACCCCAGGGGCCCATAACTAAACAGTGTTTTGTGTTGCCTACAACACATCCTACACATACTCCCCCTGGGGTTAAAAGGCCTATCTGACTTCACTTTATCACATATCCTCCTCCCCAGCTCAGACCCATCGGGTCAAGCGGCCTTCAAACACAAACCGTGAACATTTATAAAACCTAGGGCTGTACCAGCCCTGACTAGCTTCTCAGTTACAGGACGTGGCCTATTGCAGATGGCTGCTACCTTGCTCCCTTGATTAATTAGTGCTTGTGCACTCTTCCCTACCACCATCACCACTTTTAGCTGTGCTGTAACACCACCACTAGTCACCATACACATCTTTAAGCAAGTCAATACAATCCTATACAGAGCCCTTATTACTATGTCACATTGTATTGTCTCTTCACTCTCAGGACAGCTATATGTAATATGTCCATGCATGCGGCAGTTGAAGCAGTTTTTCTCAGTCT